TCTACGGCTGACATGCTAACAGCTGTGACTGAAAGATTTTATCATGCATTCTTGCACGATATTTTTTATTTTTTTTATTTTAATTCACCTCCTCAAGGCCGAGAAGGCCACTACAGACGAGGAGGCTACTTATTTGTGGTTATAACCCTCTCTCAACTCTATAACTCTGAAACACGAACCTTGATCGAACAAGGCTGCTGCGCGGAGAAACGAGTTGAGTGCGGTACTACCAGGGACGTGGTAGGGATCGAACTCGGAACCACTCGTTTATAAAGCGAGCGCTCTACCACTACACCACCACCGCATAATTTTAACGATAATACAATAAACGATATTGTGCACTCTTGACATCTAAAGCTCTTGACAAAGTTTGGCATGCTTATCTTTTTTTTTTCTTTACAATTTGATCAAAGCAGTTTTGATGTTTTAGCTATTTAGATGCTATTTAAAAAATTGTTACATCATGAATAACTTTTTATCGTTAATATTTTCTAAAGTTTTTATTTTACGCAAAGGCTTTAAGTAAAATAAAAAATTAATTATAGTGATTAAAATAAAAGCATTTTGTGTAATTTAACTAATGATGTTGTGTTTAATTTTTTTTATATATGTAAGCATTTGGGTGATCCAAATTTTACACATTATTTAAAATGCAGACTCCATAACCCTAAATATTTTCTATATAATAACATAATACTGGAGTTAAAAAATCTTTGAAAAAAAATATTTTTAGGGGTAGCAATAGTCTCTAAAACATCAGACGGGCCCCTAATAATAACAAGAAAAAAAGATCGTCAAAAACGATTAGAAGATCGTCATAGAGAATAGAATCTGGAGTAAGAAAGTGTTGAGCTCGATAAAGATATGCAACTTTAGTAGATGCTAATTTTGCAACGGATTTGATATAAAGTTTCCAAGAAAGATCAGAAGAGTTAATCCTAGAAGATGAAGGGTAGATGACTCATTAAGTGCATTACCGTTCATAAATATAGGAAGATTTATAGAAGAATTATTGCGATAACGATTGGCTTAAAAAAATTGAGTTTTATCTGAATTAAAGTTCACCAGCCACTGTGAGAGCCATTTGAAAATAATATATATTACGCTTTCTAATAATTTTTAAAAAAAATCTTTTATTTATTAAACAATCATTAAGAAGTAATTTGCAAAAGCATTTTGCGTAACTTTAATAAAATGTTTTTAAATGATAAGTTTTAAAATAATTTATTTTAAACGCAATTAAAAAACTTAACAAAAAGTAACTCCTACTTTGAGTTTGAGTTTTATTTCAGTGCTTAAATATTTTCTTTTTGATATGGAATTTCTTTTTTCATTATTATTATTTTTTTAACTTTCTTCTTAGTTTAAGTTTAGCTACCATTTCTTTTTTCAGCGCATTTCTAAAATATTTAAAAATCATCTGAACATCTAAACAGTCAAATTGTCAAAAAATAAAATTATTTGCGTGGTCAGCAATAACGCTCGATCACACACTATTTCTGTCCAAGCCTGTGTATCTGGGAAAGTTTTAAAGATATCAAATTATTTCTTTCTAATCGCTTTATTTAAGTCTCCGGGAAAGTCAACACTTTTCTTCATTTCTAGTAACTTCTGGGATACTCCAAAGTTCTATATTTGGTTCTGTTTCTTATCTGCATTAATGATTTTCAAGACAACCTTACATCTAAATTAACTCTTATTGCTCATGACTCAACTTTACACTCCTGTTTTTAAAAAAAATCTTCTCTTTTCTATCGCTTAAAACAGGCAGTTAATCTTAAATCTGATCTCACTTCTGTAACATATTGGCGCTTGCAGTGGCTTGGTAATTTTAAATCTAAAAAACTCCGTTATTTATAGCAAACAACTATCACAATAATGCTGACATTCCTATATTAATGAATGGCAATCCTATCACTGAGTCCTTTTTTTACACTTTCTTGGATTATCCTTTACTACTGCAGCGCTCAAAATAATTATTTAATGGTTACCGATCAACATTGATCAGCTGAAATTACAAAATTAAAAACCAGACAACCAAATCTTTTTTTAGACGATCAACCTTTTATTAAATTTCACTAAAATTAAAAATGCATTTTTTTTTTTACCATATTAATTTAATCAAACTGCTATTGCTGTTTCAACTTTAATTATTTCATTTAGAATTTAAATAAACTGTTTTTTTTGCCGGGGTTTTTTAAATTTGTTCATTTAAAATATAAAAACGTTGGTTTTGTTGTATTTCTTTTTAAATGTTTTATCTTGAGTATAAATAAAACATTGGCGTTTTTATTTTAACTATTTTGTTTAGAATTTAAAAAAACAGTTTTGCCGTATTTATTTTAATTATTTTAAGAATATAAATAAATTATTTTATTTAGAATTAAAAATAAAACTTTGCCTTTTTTTTTAAGTATTTGATTTAAAGATGTTTGTTTAAAATGAAATATAAATTGATTTTTGTTTTTTCTGTTTTTATTATAATTATTTTATTTAGAAAATGAATAAAATGTTTGTTTTGCCGTTTTAATTTTATTTAGAATTAAAATAAGTTGTTTGTTATTAAATTATATAAATTAAATTTTAAAAATAATTTATTTTAATATAATTTTGATGTTAATTTAATATTTTCAACTTTCTGTATTTCGAATGTTTTTCTATTAATTATCATTAAGGTTTGACAAGCAATTACTGCCAATCAAATTTAATCGGCTAGATTTTAGGATATCAAAATGTCAATTTATCTAAAAATAGCCTATCATTGATTGTTGATTGGCCGCTATTTCGAGCGCTGCTATTGAACTTTTATGGAAACCATATATACAATTGATTGCTAAATTTGAATCTGCTTCTCTTTATCATACTAGCCATTTTCTTACTCCTGATTCTATTCTATACCTCTACAAATCTCTTATTTGTCCTTGTATGCAATACTGTTGTCTGCTCTTTCTCTTCTAGTAAAAATCTGAAAATGCATTGTAAACATAGTTGGACCCGCCATATCTGAAAATATGTAACTCAATCAGAAGAGGCTCGAGCCTCATCCCATTGTCATAAAATTGCAACTCTTTCTATTTTCTACAAATACTGGTCACTTTAATCACGGTCGCTGATTAAAGGAGCTTTTATCTCTAGTTCCATCAACCAACATTTCAATGTTGTTGTTATTCCTATATTGATGAATAACAACCATCTCACTCTCAGACAAAGCCTAACAGCACATTATAAATAGACATAATAAATACACATTATAAATAGACTTGAACATTATAAATAGACCTGCGTTTTCTGCCAAGCTTGAACCACTCTCCCATTGTGGTAAGGTCACATTTTTTTTTCCTACAAATACCATCATGTTCAATGCATATACTTTAACGCTCAAATGAGCTATCCCCTCTAGTTCAATCAACCAAAACTTATTCTTGCTTGACTTCTTATTCATCAAGTCGCATCCCTTTACTATATCTGTCTCTTCATACTATAAAAAAATTTATTATTCCAGTTTCTTTCCTTGCACAACAAAACGTTATAACTCTTACCCATCCTAATGTTTTATTGACTTGTACAACCTACAACTTTTTTTTTAAGTCTTCAATTAACCATTTCCTTGTTCTTTAACCCTATCATCTATTTTCTAGTAACTCATAACTTAATAGTGGTTGCTTGCAACCTTTTTAAAAGTAAATTAGTTTTTATAAAAATATATAATATTCCAGTATTTAATAAATAGTAAATGTATGTCAACCCCTGCCAAATTTTATAACTTTGCTAGGGCAGGATTTGTAAAAAGTCTTATTTTAAGCCAGGGCCAACAATCTACATGTATCACCACCTTGAGCTTCTCTGGGTCGTGATCTCCTTCTTTTCACAATAATACAATCATAGCTCTTAAATAGTAAATACTAACACATCTTTAAAAATTAATATAAATAATTTTGGGAAGAATGATCAGAAATGATTTTAATAATTATTTAATAAAGATATTTAGATTTCAAGATAATCATTATATATTATTGTTTAACTCTTGAGTATTTTAAATGATTGAGACAAAAAAAAGTAGTAAAAAACATAACTAATATTAGGGGCTATTCTAGAAAAAAAATATGGGCGGTACCTCTCCATCCGGAGAAATTCAGCAGAAATATTGCCGATTATCTGTGGAAAAAAAACTATTTGGCGTAAAAAATATATATATAAAAAAAGCTCCTCATTTTTTAATTTGAGCAACGCTCAAATCAGCACCAAAATACAATAGACGCTGTCGAAACAATGCAAAATAGCCCCTGAATATTACAAATTTAATTATAATAACATACTGTTATTAAAAATTAGTGCTTATTCTTAAATTTTTATTCTTGAAAGAATTTAATGTGGTAGTGAAGTAGTGGTAAAGCGCTTGCGATTGTGAGCAATCCATACCAAATCCTTGAAATTGTGAGCGATCCCCACAAAATCCTCCTCAACTTGTGGAGGTAAATAGCATTTTTAAAAGTGTAATTTAAAAATTATTTTCAGATGAAATTTAAAAAAATTTAAGAAAATGCTGGTTTTTCTATTTATTTATATTTTATCACAAAACTTCTATGAAAATTTTTTTGTTACTTTAGGACTACCAAAATTGATTTCAATTTTTTAAAATAATATTTTTCTTATTTGCATACATCTATTATAATTATTACAATTAACAAAAAAACCATAAATAAAAATTTTATTATTGTATAACAATAATACATACAAGGTTTAAAAAATACATTTTTAAACCTTGTATAATTACATAAAGTACATTTTTATAATCTATTTAGTTTAAGTGAGATAATAAGTTAAATTCATCCGAGACAAAAAGTTAAATTTATTAAAATGATAATACAACAATTTAGATGCATTTAATTTTCGATTAAAACATTTGTTAGCAATCACTGATTGCAAAATAACTTGATTTTAAATAATTGAAATTCTAAACAATAGATGGAAAATATAAATACATATTAAAAAGCTCTCACCTGTCATAATGCAACAAAATAAAACAACTGCTGAAGAATATGTGTTGTTATTTAAGGTTGCTAAAAAATTAGTTAATGGAAATAATCTATCATTAAAACTTTTCAGAAATGTATATCTAAACAAAAATGTTAAATTCATTGTATTGATTTAAAATTAAAAAAATTTTTTTTTGTGATAAATATAAACTATTACTATAATAGCTAATAAATAGAATAGATATTTAAAATATATAACTATATATTTATATTGAAAAAATATATCAAAGACCTAGTCCTCGACTGTCCTATGTTTCTGACAGCTTGTAAAAGAATAACTTTTGAAAATAATTTAAGTAACATAAATGCAGCATGATACTTGAAAAAGGGTCTTAAAATGTTATTAAAAATCATAAAATAATTATACTTTTATAACAAATAAACGTTGTACATTCAAATATATTGCTAGATCGCAGTGTTTTAAAAATATGGTTCCATATACAGACTCGGTCCAAAACCGAAACTCGGACTATTTAAAAAAATATTCGGTGTTAATTTAGGGAACACCTAAACTTCAAAACAATTAAGTTGAAAACTCAGGGCAAACATTTTTCTCAGAAAAGTCAAATAAGAAAATTTGATAAAGATAAACACAAGAAAAAAAAAGTCATTATTAACATAACTTGGCATTTTTTTTGGCTAAATTTTAGACAAAATTTGAAAGAGTATTTGGTATTTTAAACTAAAAAATAGTACGGCAACATATAATAAAAAATAAAAAAATAAAAAAGTTAAAAAAGAAATATTTGGTATGACTTTGTTTCTACTCTTGCTAGTAGTAGTAATTATTAACAGGATAAAATCTACCCAGAAAAAACCCCAGGAAAAAACCTATAAAAAAAAAAACACAAGATCTTAACCGTGGGCGATTCAGCAACTTTTAATCATTTATTGTTATTTGCCGAACATTAACTTTACACCGATAACTGAAAATTTTTAGTTAGATAATATTTAAAAATTCAAAAAATTTTTAAGATTTAAATTTTTATAAACAAAAGTTTGTTATTAACACTAGTTTGGAGAGAGTTTCGCCTTTTAATAATGTTTTATTTGTTTTATTTACATCAAGAAAAAAATCGAAAAAAATTTAAAAATACTTATCTCCAAATAGATCTAAAAATATAATTTGAGTTAAATTTTGAGATCACTGTTATATTTTGAGATCAGAGATAAAAAGTACACTTTGGTTTTTATATTACTTAAGAAGCAGGATCTAAATAGGAAAAAATTTTACTACCAGTAAACATAGGGAAAAAAAAGTGTATTGTAAGAAAAAATTAATAATTTCATTTTTAAAGAATTTAGCACAATAAAAAGAATTTTGCAATCGTAGCTTAAAAAAATGATTAGGGCTTAAAGAAAACAAACTTAGTCTCATCAACAAGCCCCGAAAACTCCATCATCACTAGATAAAATATAATTTGACACTAAGATACTTAGCTGTTCCATCTCGGAATTTGAAACGGCAACGGTAAGGGGAAACCTGTTAAATTTAAAACAAGAAAAATAACGGTAACGAGAAAAAATTTATTGTTGAAAAATGAGATGATATGACTCCAATTATTGTCCGATCAGTCTTTATTCTGCTATTAGCAAGATCTTTGAGTCTTTAAAAAACAAATTTCTCACATTACATCTTGAGTCAAATTACTTATTGTCAGACAATCAATACAGTTTTCAACCTTCTCGCTTTACGGCTGACTTGCAAACTGCTGTGACTGTATATTTTAATCGTGCATTAGATGGAGGTGGAGTGTTTAGGACTATTGTTCTTTAAATATCTAAAGCTTGCAACAAAGTTTGGCATGCTGATCTTTTTTATAAGCTTGTTTAATATGGTACATCTGGAACGGTTTTTGAGATTATCAAATTACTTCTTTATAACCGTTTTATTAAAGTTATTCTCAAAAGACCAATACTTTTTTTTATTGCCAGTAACTTCTGGGGTACATCAAGATTATATCCTTGGCTCTGTTTTGTTTCTTACCTACATTAGTGATCTTCCCGACAAACTTATATCTAAATCAGCTCTTTTTGCTGATGACCTTATTCCTGAATCCATTCTCTACCTCTAAAAATCTTTTATTTTTCTCTGTTTGAAATACTGTTATCATATTTGAGCTTTTAACAATGCTCTTTCTCTTCTTTTTTTATTTTCATATTTGTTATTTAGGTGCCCCAAGAAGTCCTAACGGTCTTGTCACAGAGCACCGCGGAACTGCATTTAACCAGAAAGTTCACGCCTACTTCCATACAGTGACGTGAAATATGTCCTAAACTCGTTTTGAACCTAGATCTCTTGCTTATAATACAAGCGCTCTAACCACTGCGCTACGGCAACACAATAGTTGGACTCTTTCTGCTAAGCTTGAGCCTTTTCCCCATTTTTGTAAAATTGCAACTCCTTTTCTTTTTTACAAATACTACATGGATTAAAAGCTACTTAAAATTCAAGTTTGCTGCTCAAAGGAACAATCATCTCTAGTTCCATCAAACGCTTTCTCGTTTTCTTCGTTTGATTCTTTGACTCATCATTTAGCAAAGTCTCATTTGTTTACTGTATCTGACCCTGCACGCTTTAAAAACTTTTATTCGTCTAGTTTTTTTCCCTGCACTTCAACTCTTTGCCATCTTTTTATTTTTCTGACTCATACAACCTTTAACTTTTTAAGTCTACAGTCAACTGTTTCCCTGCTCGATAACTCTATCTTTTTTTCCACGTAACTCCCAACTTAATAGTGGTTGCTTGCAGCCCTGTTGAAAGTGAATCAGAATATAAAAATATATTTTTTGTTAAAATGGCAGCTAAATTTGGAATAACCATTTCATAAAAGTTTGGCCATTTTTACCTTTTAATTGGGTAATCAAGACAAAGATTTTCAAATAAGAAAATATTTTTTAAAAATTTCAATGAAGTTTTTATGTTTAAAAAAAAAAAACTTTACTAAAGTTCCAATGAAATTTTTAAAATACTTTTTGGGTACTACCAGTGCATTTGTGGCCACAGCGCCTTTAGGTATATGAACAGTCGTCGCCCTATTATTCGTAATTAAAATTAAAACTATACATATCTACTGTAAAAACTATTTATCTGTTAATTTATTGTTTTTAATTTGTTAATTTAATTTTATTTAAGTTTATTGATTTAACAAAAGGCAAAAATTCACTATAAAAGTTACAATAAAAACCAGTATAATACGCAAGGTAACGACAGGTTATGTAATGTGTGTTTTCGAGCAAATACTTTTCTCGTAAAGAAACCTGCCTTTCGTTGTTTAAAAACCTTTTTTTTTTATTTAAATATAATTGTATGAATATTTTTAAAAAATTCAAATAAATTCAAAATTAATTCTGATTATGCAATAGAAAATAAACTAAAAAAATATCTCATAAAAATTTTCAAAGAAAGTAAAAAATTAAACGCTTTTTTTTATTTGGAGCCTATGGGTATCACCAAGAAGGGTATTATTATCATTAAAAAGTAATAATAATAAAAAAGAATAAAAAGGACCTAATTTGTTATCCGTATTTTTGGCGTAATTTCTTCTGACAAAAAATATTAACCTACTACTATTTGACCGACCCAGTAAATTGCCACCCCCCACCCCCCATATAATGTTGTTCTTACATGCTTGCACTTAACTCGCTGTAGAACTCTTATGCTGCGAACAAAGCACTTTAAAAACCTGAAAGAAATTTTTCCTCATAAAAATTTTATTTGTTGCTTCACATTATTTAAAATTGCATCCTTTTTTTTTTTTTCGGTTTACATTTGTTGATCGTTGTACATCTTTATATAACCAATAATAAAAATAATAACTTAAACTTAAAATGATAGAAAATATAACAAATGTAAACAAGGTTCTTCTTCTTCTGAAAGAAGATCGCAAGGATCTTGGACGCAAAAACTTAAAATAAGCGTTTAACCAGGATAAGACAAACAAAAAATTAATAAACTTTTACAAAATTGCCAAGTAAATAATTTATGTATATGAAGAAAGATCAAAAAAATCTTCTCATTAGAATTTTATGCAGGAATAAACCAAAAATGAAATCAGGAATAAACCAAAAATGAAATCAGGAATAAACCAAAAATCAAAAATGAAAAAGTTATAAGTATAAAAGCAATAAATAAAATAAGAATAAACTTTAATAAACGTAGACATATAAACAATAAAAAAATTGATCAAAATATATAACTTTTACTTGTAATATTAACTCAGTATATTATCTAATGAAGGAGGTTTTTTTAAAAAAAGACAAAAGGTAGGTATATATACTAGGTACTTGCCTAGGTACTTGTAGGTATATATACTAGGTACTTGTCATACTAGGTATTTTTCGGCAAAACAATTTTATTCCAAAGGTACGGCGCTCGATAGATAATACAAAATTGATTAAAGTTTTTTTTGGCAAAAAGTTTCATTTAAAAAGTTATTATTTATCCATATATATATAAAACATAAAATATTGAATACTTTTAACTCGTATATATTTAGAATTCTTATTTCAATAAAATAGTTTTGAATGAGAAAAGCGATTTGCAAAATTGATTATATGGATTGCGCGTTTCTGACAAAGATAAAGACTTAGCAGCTTACTTTTTCCTGTACTTCTCCAAGCAATATTAGCATAATTTAAATAACTAAGTATAAACAAATAATAAAGTTGAAGAATTTTTTTTTTTGAGGTAGATGATTTATATAAGATTCTTATGTTTTGAGAAGTTTATGTTTCTTTTATCATCAGTATGAAGATTTCAATTAATGTTTTCATCAAGATAAATATCTAAAAATTTTGTTAGAAAATCTTTTGGTAACTTTGATGGCAGAAATTGCTTTTTTGTAACCGAATGGAATAAAACCTATTTTGTTTTATTAGTATTTAAGGTTAACTTATTACGCTTGAACTAATTAGATAAATGTCTGAATTCTTCGTACACTATTTTAAAAAGCTCAGCGATATCATAGTTAGAAAGGAATAAATTTATATCATTTGCATATATAATGCTTGTTTGTTTTCAGGCTTTATTCAAGTCATTTATGTAAATTAAAAAAAGGAAAGGTCCAAGAATTGAACCTTGTAAGACTCCACTGGTTACATCAAGAAAAGTAGTTGGGTAATCATTATTAAATGGTATAAATTGTTTTCAGTTAGATTTAAAACCATTTTAAAAATTTATTTTTTATTTCTTAGTACTTGAGTTTACCAAATTAAATATCACAATTGACCGTATCAAAAGCTTTTGATAAGTTATTAAAAATTCCTTGTGTATATTGTAATTTTTCGAATGATTTTGAGATCTTACGTACAAATTGGATAATTGTTTAGTAGAGGTATTTTTTTTATTGAAACCAAATTGATTGATTTAAAGAAAACTATTATCATGAAAATATTTGTATACTCCTGATATCTTTTATTATTTTTTATATAAGTATACTCTGTAGAACATAATTTTCTAGAACTTCCGAAAATGTGGAAAGAACAGAGATGGGGTGATTACTGATTTCAGATAAGTGCTCTTCTTTAAAAATAGGAATAATTTTTGCATTTTTTAATTGTTATGGGAATACTCCTTGATGGATAGAAGCTCTAAAGATTTTAAAAAGAACATTTTTTAATTGTTCAATTTACAAACACGTGTTCATTAATTTGATCTGCTCCAATTGCTTTATTTTTTATTTTTTAACAGATTTGAAGGCATATTCAAACTCATCAAACTTTAATTCGGAAGAAACCTCTTCTGAACAAATGCAATTATCCATGGGTATTTTTTTAAATAGGGTTTTGTAGTTCTTATAAATATATATATATATATATATATATATATATATATATATATATATATATATATATATATATATATATATATATATATATATATATATATATATGTGTATATACATATATATATATATGTGTATATACATATATATATATATATATATATATATATATATATATATATATATATAATATATATATATTTATATACATATATATATATATATATATATATATATATATATATATATATATATATATATATATATATATATATATTTATATATATATATATATATATATATATATATATATATATATATATATATATATATATATATATATATATATATATATATTACTAATATATATAACTATTTACTAATATTATTAGTAAATAGTCATATATATTAGTAAATAGTAAATAGCAGTAAAAACAAGTTTTTATATTTAAAAAAAGTTGAAGCAGTGACCAGAAAAATATCATAAATATAGAACATGTTTATCTGAAGTTCAAAAAAAAAATTATTAAAATCCTACAGTCAGATTTTAAGAAAATTGATTTCAAATAAATAAACAAATCTATGAGTTACACTAAAAAGTTGTTATTTGAAAATAAAGTTTAAGTACTCTAAGATATTTTTTATCCTTTTTTTATTTATATTTTTGTGAAATTTTTGTAATAGTACACTGATCTACATAAAAATAAGGCTACAACATTTAGTTTTTAGAGATCAAATAACAAATAACACGGTTGCCATGTAAAATATTCTCTGTAGTTAAGAACCGTAGCCATTTTAAAAGTTCAAAAGTTATTCGCGTTTTCTCACGCATGCGTGAGAAAACGCGAATAACTTCACATGTATTTAGTGAAATATATAAACCTTTATATATTTCACTAAATACCCAGACATTTTTAATTTATGGTTTTATATATTAATTGATTTATACAGAAAACCATATTTATAAGTACAAAACATTAATTACGTTGTAAATATAGCATACACAAATGTTTTAATTGTTATTTTTGTAAACATTATAAATTCTTATATTTGTAGTAGATGTTATAAATTTTTGTGTTTATTTATAACTTTTTTTATTTTTTTATTTTACTTTGTGCCTATTGTGTGTTAATAATAGTTAGGGGAAGTGGGGAGATAACCGCATATAGAGGCAAAACCGTTTTTTAACATTTCCCTTCGAAAAATGTTATCTAATATAGCAAAAAAACATACCACGCGTTAGTAAAACAGTTTCCTCATTTTGCTTATGTCAAAAAGATTACGTGTTACGTTTCTGAGAAGTTGTGTATAATAATGTTTTTTTTGATAAAAATATTTTATTTACATCATATTTTTCCAGACCTTTTTTTTGAGGATTAAGCAATATTTGATTTAGTGTTAAGATATATGTTTTCAGCATTATATTATTAAGTGAAAACCATTTTTGATATTACCATAACCTAATAAGCAAGCTATTAAAGTGTATTCTTTCTAAAACCTGTCCTCTGGGGCAGAACCGCATAGACGCACAGGAGGCACAACCGCATACTTATTTAATATTTATTAAAGTTAGTTAATTACGAATAGCAGTAACTACAGTCGTCATACTTGAATGCGTTCATTAAAAACTTGAGTAGAAATTGTTTTGTTTTGAGATATTGGAAATTAGATTTCGTATTTTTTTATTTAATATTTGTGAACGAGTTTTTGAATAAAATATAAAGCTAAGAGTATATCGAATTAGAAAACTCAGACTGTAAGTACAAAAAATGCCTACACAGTAAGCAAACGTTCAACAAAACCAGCAAATAATCCGAGCTGTGACAATTGTAAAGAAAATGTACCCAGAAAAGTGTACCCCCAACGATTTTTGTGATGGTGCGATTGTACCTCACAATGGGGGCAAAACCGTTTTTTTTTCACTAAGTGTAATTTTTGTGTAATAACATTTTCAAAAACCGTTTAATTTTTCTCTTAATTGAATCAATTTAAAGCTTAATGATGTGGTTATTCAAATAAACTGTTAAAAAAACACATTTCGTTTTTATTTTCATATAACATTAATCCAACCGTTACGGGTGCGGTTATTCCCCCGCCCCGGTTATGCCCCACATATTATTATGTGTTAATAACTTGTAAAATGCTGATAAATTTTATTTATATAAACCTGATTCAAAAAGATTACAAAACCACATTTTTATATAGGATTGAACTAGAAGATTTTTATAGAGTTTTTTGTATTAAGTACAAAATTTTAAAAGTTTTTAAAGAAATTTTTTTGTCCGTAAGAGTTATTTATAATGTATCTTGAAAATAATGTTATATAAATAGGGGCAACGCTAATAAATAGAGAAATGATAAATTTTTGAATATATTTTTATAATATTTAGATACTGAAAAATGCATTCTGAGATAATAAACGCCTGTTTATTTTGCACCCAAAATTTTATTACAATTTTGCATTATCAAAAATTTTTTGCTAAATTTAAGTTTTATTTACAAAGAACAAATAAAAAAGAAATTTAAATTTAGCAGTAAAAACTGTAAAGTCCAGGGTGATTGGATGTTTATTTGCGACCTCAGAATAAGAAACTGGTTACTAAACTTCCCGCAATTTTTTACGGCAGTCAAAATACGCTATATTTTTGCAATCCATAGAAACTAAATATGAAAATTGTTTAGCATATATTGGTAACAGTTAACAACATTATCTTACTATTAAAAGGGTTGGACCTTTATGCACAAATTAAAATCATTAAAAAATAATTAAAATGTGCAGTATATACAGAATACGTACATATGACAACGCACATATCTTTCGTCCGTCAATGACTGTACAAGATATCTTAAAATAAATATGCTAAGTTTTTTTATATTTAAGAGAAAAATTGTATCGAAACTTGTAAATATAATAGTCTTTAAAAAGAAGTATTTAATATGAAGCACTTAGAGATTACACGCTTAATGACAGCTGACGATTATGAAAGTTTAACTTTGGCTTAACAACTTGAGTAGTTTTTATTGATTGATCAGATTCCGTTTCTTCGCAAAAATCAGCCATAATAGGCTGCTTTTTTTGTGAAAGATTCATATGTATTGTTCCATAATAGCTTATTTTTCGTGTCTCCTTGGAAAGGCATTTTGGGATCACAAAATCCTCGTTATCATTTTCTGTAGATACATCAATGTTCAGATGTTTCAAGCAAACCTAAGAATAAAAATTACATTAAACATTTAAAAGCATTGTTTTTTTGTACACAAAATATTTTGCAAATATGATTAATTTATGTGCGCACGTATATTTTATTCTCACAAACTTATAATGCTTTTATTTTATTATGTTATTACTTTATAAATTATTTTTGATTGTTATAAATTTATACTAGACTTTTCTATGCAAAAACTATGATTAATGAAGAACGAACACATATTAACACCCAAATTTAACAATAGTTTTTGTTTTTAAACTAAAATCACTCTTTGGAAGTTGTGAAGTTGATAAATTTTAAAAATTATATATATATTTAAACGTAACTATACTGTTAAACGTCAATATAAGTAATAAACGTGAATACTCATTTAAAAGTTAACACATTTAACCCTAAATATATGAAATTTGAATTATTTAATAGCTTTAAATGTAATGCCCTTTATGCTGCTCAATTTTACTAATCTTATTAGGTTAGCATGATTTACCATGATTCATCCATTTGATCAGAAGAAGAACAAGAAATATCAATAACACATTGAGGTTTTTGAAAATATCTGTTATTATACTGTCACAGTTTAGTTCCCTTTACTTTAACTATTGCTCCGGCAACTGTTGCTCTGACAATTGCTGCTCTGATGTTGAATGTTATTTGTTCTTTTTCAATTTCTTTTAATTCAATTTTAAATCTTTCATTGCATTTTCTTCTGTTTCTTTTAATTCAGTTTTCTTTGTAGTTGTTTTTGTTGTTTCAACTCAGTTTTATATCTTTAAAGTTTTTACAAACTGATGGAAGTATTTTGGACATTGGTTTTTATATGTATATAATGTCTGTTTTATCAAAAAAAAATTCATGAAAAGATATTTTAAATTAGTTTATATTTTTTTTAGTTGCAATTTTCCTATATATAAACATTTATACCAACTATTTAGGTTATTTTTTATCATTATTATTTTTATTTTTTATTTTAGATACTCCAAGAATCCTTACCATTTACCACAGAGCATCGCGCAAGGGCATTAGAAAAGAATTTCCCGCCTCCTTCCTTACTGTTGTTATGAAACTTGCCCAGAGGTGGCGTTGAATCACGGATCTCTGGCTTTTGAGACAAGTGCGCTAACCATTGTGCTACGGCTACTTAACCTGTGAAATTCATGATCAATTTTTTCTTAATAGACCAAAAATCCATCTATGGAAGCATTACATAGCCTTTATGAGTACGTTTCAAAATCTTTTGTTTTAAAATCTTTTAATTTTGTTCAAGATTTTGCGTTGATATGATCCTCATGATGTTAAATGTGGATGTTTTACAAAACTACGACAAAACATGGAGGCTTGGGAACTACCAATAATTGGGAGCAAAAATACACTAATAATCTTGATCCCCGGTTTAGGAAAAAAAGGTTTTCGAAAATAAAATGTAACACTGGGATAAGAAAAGTTATTTTAACTCATAATAAAGTAACAGGAATTCAACTAAATGAAAAAATTTTGACTGAGTTTCTTGTTGCCAGAAAAACAATGCAACATTTTTTAACATTCAATTATTAAATTTAACTAAAAAAGGAAAAACTGAAGAAAAAAAAACAACAAAATATTCATTGCAAAAACTTATAGAAATTAACTAACAAGGTGTTGTTAGTCAGAGATTACAGCAACAATCATTTTATCAAACTCATGCTGACAGGTTTAATTCCTCGAGACACATTGATGTTAAACACGTTAACTTATTATTACCACTTTTTCAAATGCACATCAAACATACAAGAATGTCAGAGCCTGAATGGATATTAAGTGAATGATGTGAAGTTTTACATTTTATGTAATCTAAAAATGGTGAATACCATTTTTGGAGTTCAGTCCCATTCAAGCAGTCAATCAAAGGCAAGGATTGCCATCAACTTTTCAAAGCTGGGTTTCTTGGGCATGGGTTAGTCTAGCAACGGCTCTGATGAAATGATTTAGTTTCAATACTTTTTATTATTACCGGAAAAAAATAGAAAATCTTTTCATCTTGGTTTTGATGAGTCTCTCAATGCACACTTCGATTAACGCAATTTTTTGAAAAATCTTTAATTTATTTTTGAGATGAGTGTTCAACATATTTTTGAGCTATTTTAAGGCGCTTTTATATGGCTGAAAAACTCTTTTTTTTTATTTATTTTATTTATTTGCATTCACTCCTAACAAGGCTGCAAGCAACCATTATTAAGTTGGGAGTTACTAGGAAAAAAAAAAGAACAGATTTATAGAGCAAGGAAACGGTTGACAGAAGACTTGAAAAGTTGAAGGTTGTATGAGTCAGGAAAACATGGAGATGGGAGAGAGTTCCAAAGGATTGAAATGCGGGGAAAAAAACTAGATGAATAAAAGTTTTTAGAGCATGCAGGGACAGATACAGTAAACAAATGAGACTTATCTGAATGACGAGTAAAACGAGAATGAATTTTAGTTGATGGAACTAGAGATGATAACTCCTTTGAGCAGTGACCATGATAGTATTTGTAGAAAAGAGAAAGAGATGCAACTTTACGACGATGAGAAAGAGGTTTAAGCTTAGCAGATAGTCCAGGTCCAACAACATTTACAATGCGTTTTTAGACCTTGTCAAGAAGAGAAAGTGAATTGTTAGAAGAACCAGCCCAAATATGACAACAGTATTCCATACAGGGACGAATAAGAGATTTGTAGAGGTAGAGAATGGAATCAGAAGTAAGGAAATGGCGAGCACGATAAAGAGAAGCAACCTTAGCAGAAGCTAATTTAGCAATCGATTGTATATATGGTTTCCATGAAAGGTCAGTAGTAAGCGATAATCCAAGAAGACGTAAAGAGGAGGACTCAGTAAGAGGATTGCCATTCATTAATATAGGAATGTTGACCATATTACGGTAGTTGTTTGCAGTAAGCAACTGGGTTTTTTTAGAGTTGAAATTCACAAGCCACTGTAAACCCCAATCTATTACTGAAGTAAGATTGGATACAAGATCAGCTGCTTGTTCTAGGCGATCGAAAAGAGAAGACTTTTTGACAAGACAGGAGTATAAAGTTGAGTCATCAGCAAAAAGAGCTACTTTAGATGAAAGGTTGTCAGGAAGATCGTTTATGTAGATAAGAAACAAAACAGGGCCCAAGATGGAACCTTGGGGAACCCCAGAAGTTACTGGAAATAAAGAAGAGTGTTGGCCTTCAAGGATGACTTTAATAAACCGGTTAGAAAGAAAAGATTTGATAATCTCAAAAACTTTCCCAGAAACACCATATGAAGCAAGCTTATGGAGAAGACCAGCATGCCAAACTTTGTCGAAAGCTTTAGATATGACGAGAGCAATAGCCCTAGCCTTACCGCCTCCATCTAATGCACGATAAAATCTTTCAGTTACAGCAGTTAGCAAGTCGGCCGTAGAGCGAGAGGATCGAAAACCGTATTGATTGTCTGACAGTAGTTTATTTGACTCAAGATGAGATGTGAGGAATTTGTTGATCAAAGACTCAAAGACCTTGCTAATAACAGAAAGAAGACTGATCGGACGATAATTGGAGGGGTCAGAATTTTCTCCAGAGTTTTTGAATATTGGAACCACAGATGCCATTTTCCAACAAGCAGGAAAACAAGACTCAGTCAAACACTTGTTAAATAGTTTAGAGAGAATTGAAGAAAGTTCTGGAGAACAATTCTGCAAGACTGTGACAGGAATGTTGTCTGGACCACAAGCTGTAGACGAGTTTAATTGAGATATGACTTTAGCAACAGAAGCCGGAGTGATTTGAATGTCTAACAATGGGTCAACCTGTTTGACTGGAATGGAAGGAAGAGAATGTCCATAAGATTCAAGAGTGGAATTAGAAGAAAAGTTCTTTGCAAATAGTTCTGCCTTATCCTTGGGAGAGGTAATAAGATCAGTCCCATGAATGAGAGATGGAATGTTAGATCTACCCTTGTTAATAATGCTGTTGAAGATTTTCCAAAAGTCTTTAGAGCCTAACTTCTGCAATAAGTTGCGATGATTTTTCTCAGTTCATTACTCCGTTATTCTCAGTTCACTAAATGCGAGATTTAGTGAACTGAGAGTAATGGAGTTTAGCATCAGAAAACACCTTTTTACATCGATTTCTTGCAATAATAAATAGCCGTTTGTTCTCAAGAGAGTTGTTCTTTTGAAAAAGATGAAAAAAATGATTACGATTGGATATAGCAGCCGCACAAGAAGGAGAAAACCATGGAGTAGAATGAGGCTTGACTTGAAACCGACGAGAAGGAATAAAAGCTTCCATTCCAGCCTGAATCCAGGAGGTTATGTAGGAGGCGCATTTGTCAGCTGAGAGAGAAAACATTTAGTTTCGATATTGCACTCTGATGTAAAATCATTGTGGGATCCGTGCAGGCGGCGTGAAAATTCTTCATACGAAAATCAGCCAGGCTAGTATAAGCAGTTTTGTAACAAAGTTCAACAAGCGTGTGATGTATTTATAAAATAAAGTCGTTCGACCACGTATGTGAAAAAAGTCCTAATATTTTGTCTTAAAGACTTTTCTGCATTATATTGAACTTTTAATCAATTGCGAAAAAAAAGTGTTTTTTTTAATTTAATTAAAAGTTTTATTCATGAAACGAGTGCAAAACTAGGCATTTTTTTTTACTTTAATAGCTGTATGCCAGTTTTTTATTTGATACAGAGTTTATGCAAAAAATTGAGTTTTTATACTTAAAATAAAAATTAAAGTAAAAGTTAATAGACCACTAATAGGGCATTTCCAAAAATTCATTCACAGAAGCTCGTTATTGTTTTGTCAGTATTGTTTGTTTTGTCAATTTTCATAAGTAAAATCTCCAATTTAATTTTAATCTTTATAAATATTTTGTAAACAAAAAATGGTATACATTAGAAATGTTATCAAAAAATAAATAATTTTGAAGCGGATTCACGCACGGAACAGAAGAACGCAGACCATACTAGACGTACTCGAAAAATTTTTAGTTATTAAATAAATAAACTTT